CTGTATCGAAATCAACAGGAAATGCGTTCTTTTCGCCTAAAACGATACAACCTAGCATAATTTCGGTATATCTAATAACGAAAATCGGGAGTTAGACGCAATGTTTACAAGTAATTTTTTCAGTAAAAATATAAATAACGACCTCTTTACATGATGACCAGTAGTCATTTTGGTTATACATGTATAAGTGTTTCCAAAAATGGTTGTTGACTAGTTGTGACAAACGGTGAGTAATATTATAACATGTATGACGAACGGTGAATAGTATTACAATTAACAACACAAGTGGCTGATCCGATATTTATTGATGCATGACCTCGTGTCAAGTTACACAGCTCGTGAGAATTTTCAATTTTCTATTCACGTCGGAAATCCGCAGGAGGGAATATGTGAACACTAATGATACATGATAAACCTTGATCAATTATTCATACATTATTTTTTCCGATGGAAGCAATATAAGCTCGTGTTCTCCATCCTGCTCGGCGAAAGACTCGGAATCGATATCGTCTGTAAGATTCCATTGTTTAAATTGGGTCGGATGGTGTTCGTGTCTTGGAAAAATAACCACGAGTTGGGTGAGCATTTTATTGATTGCCAGGTCACATAATGCTAGACGTGCTTTATCTCCGATTCTTGCACTATAAAACATGGAGTCGATATCCGAGAATTTTTTGGCAAAAGTGATCGGCGTTCTGTTTCGGTAATTTTTAAACTCGATAATTTAAATAAATCTGCATCTTATATAAAAGTTGTTAACAAAACATGTCATCACAATCTGCTCAATCAAAAATCGATTCGTTGCAAGAATTAAATTCGAAGCTCTTAGCCGAAATTTCTGAACTTAGAAAGGAGAACGCTGAGGTCAAGGCCGAGAATACAAAATTGAAACAAGCTATAGAAGAAAATGCTGAGCTCAAGATCAGATTCGAGGAGCTAGAAAAGAAAATAAAAATACATACCGACAATCTTATTGCTGAGAATGTTGAGCTTAGAGACAGAGTCACAAAATTGGAACAGAAGCAGACACAAAATGATACCTTACACGTATTAGAAGATTCTATTCTCCACGAAGTATCATTTAATATTTCTTCCAATATTCATACACACTCATTCGAGCCTAAATCATCAGAAAATAAAGAGATTGATGAATTTCTGGATTTGAAAAATAAGGAAAGAGTTAGTAGCAAGATAAAGCAACGCAATAGAAAGAAGAAGTTTCGAGATCAAGATCTATCTTTGGTTAGCCATAAGAAAAAGGGAACAGATAAACTCTGGCAAGAATTGTTCAATATTTCTTTAGAGCTGAGTTCACAAGATCACTCTATATCAGAAAATATTAAACCAGGACAGATCAAAATTTCTGAGACGGCCCATCCTGAAAAATTTGAGAGCATGGATAGTTCTGCGAAGTGTATTGATAATTTATTTAATATTAATGAGGTATCACAACATTTAGCTCAGTTGTGCAATACAGTCATAGGCACAGAAGATCGAGCTTCAAAGACTAATCAGGAAGAAATCATGTACTGGTCTTTTTATGATAGGAATTTTGAATTTCAAGTTGGTGAGATAAGTAATAAAAATAAAATTGACAAGAAAAAAGCAAGAACCTTAATTTATAATGAAATTGAAAATCAACTCTATATTCTTTGTAAAAATGAGCACAAAATTTGGATTTATAAGTTTCAAATATATCACAAGATACCTTGCACAAAAAAACTCAAAGAGCTGTAAAAATTTATAAGTTATTCAAAAAAATAGGTCTAGATAAAATTAAATATATTAAGAATTATAGTGCAAATTCTATCTCAGAACTTACTAATGATCAAATTCAAGAGATTATTAATCATGATTCAGAGAGCCAAATCTCTAATTCTCCTTCACTTGAAATCAACACCTGAAGTATTTTCTGAAGAAAATATAATTGAAATTTCTGGAAAGATCCATCTTGAAAAGACTTTATTAGAAACTGAGATAAATATATTGTTATAAGTTTGTTCACTAATCATTAAATTAGCTTATAAATAAGAATCTGGATTGGGAGAGAGTATAAACTGATATAGAAAATATTAAGAGAGAAGAGGGATATCTAAGGTCTATGCCAATTTCTACGGAAATTGTATTTACTTGAAAAGAAATAATAATGTGGGAGAGTTGTGGGAGAGTAAAGGTCAAAAGGAAGAGAGGGTATAAATAAATAACAAAGGGAAATTCTATACTTGTTTAAAGCTTTCTAGAACTTAAGTATATGATTAATAATAATAATAATAAAGACTCTTTCTCTTTTTTCTTCTCACAAGTGAGAAACATTCATTAACAATTAAAAATTCAAATAACAGAAAGTAAAAATACGTATAAATCTAATTTCAATACAGGAATTTGTTCAGCACAATATGATATAAAGCTCAATAATCCAATAACAGCAATTTGTTCAACACAATATGATATAAAGTCCAAAGTTAATAATAACGATTTGCTCAGTGCAATATAATATAAAGCTGTCAGTGATTTGATAGATTTAATATAATATAAGATCACTTATACACAAGATTTAATGTGTATAAAGAAAATATGAGAGGCAGGAAGTATTTGGAAGAAGATTTTTGTTAAGAGAGATTTTTATTTTCAGTTACAACATGTCAAGTTAAGACTCAGACAGCATCTCTATTTATACATTTTTTGAAATTACAAAAAGTAAAATAAATAATTATAAAAATATATAAAAGTGAAATAACTAATTATAAAAGTGAAATAATAAAAGTGAAAAAATAAAAAGTAAAATAATATATATAAAAGTGAAAAATAAAAAATGAAATAATTAAAAAGTAAAATATTAAAAAGTAAAATAATACTAAGAGATTTTGTCATTATTAAATTTTAATTATTTTTGAATTTGCAATTTTATGTTACTATTATAACATTTGTTCTTCCTTCAAAAATTTTGCTCTACAAAATCAAATTTGAATCTGATTTTTATATTTATTAACTTTCTTTTTACTTAATTGATGTATTTGAGAAGATGTCAATTTCAAAGTAGTTTGTAATAAAAGTTCTTTGGTATCAAATATTTTAAAGATCTTCTTTGCAATATAAAATGATCATTCACAAAATTTATATTTTCCAATTTTTTGATGAATAGATCTCTTTAATTATTATAAATATTTTTGATATTTTGATAGTTGATTATAAAGTATTTCTTCAATTTTGAAATAGTATTCTAATTTTTGCTTTTCATCTTTTCTCTGATGATATATTGTTACACATTTTTTTACTAATTGAATAATTAGCTAATAAATGAACAAAAGTTAGAAAAAATTATTAAACAAATATAAGAAAAATATAAAAATAATATCTAAGTTCTATACCAATTTCTATTGAAATTGTTATAATTCAAAAGAGAAAAAGGATAAGATAATAGTATTTTAATTAGGTATAATATTTCAAATAATTGTACTAACTAATTAATTTACAAATTATTTAATTAAAGTGATTAATAATTTAATTAACTAATTAAAATATCAAAAATAATAAAAGTAATGAAGACTTTTTCACTTTGCTTTTCTTACAAGAAAGAGATTATAATGTCTTTAGTTGAGGAATTGTAAATAATTCAATTATAACAAAAATATCAAAAGACTAGTCTATAACAAAATATTAATTCAATAATTCAATATTAACATTTTGATTAGCTCAATACAGTCTCAAAACTACTTGTTTGCAAGATTTAAAGTATACTTTTGAGAGAAAAATGTGAATTGGTTAAGTGTTAAAAAGATATTTGTTTTATTATGTTATTTATTCTCAAGTTCTGATATGTTGAGTTAGAGCTCAATTACAACTCATATTTATACATTTTCTTTGAAATACAAATATAATATTGAAAACAAGAAAAAGATATAAAAAATAATTATACTAACTAGAAATGGAATTCCAATTTTCTAAATATGAAAAATAAAGAAATAAAGGTGAAAAAGTATAAATCTTCAAGAATTTTGATTGGTTAAATTATATTTACTCAGAATAAATAAATATAAAAATATAAAAAATAAAAAAAGTATAAATATATAAAAGTATAAAAAGTATAAAAAGTATAAAAGTATAAGATAGAAATGGTATAAAAGTATAAAAATATAAGAATACGAAGTAGAAAAAGTATAAAAGTATAGAAGTACAAAATAGAAAAAGTATAAAAAGTATAGAAGTACAAAATAGAAAAATAAAAGTATACAAATTCTAATATTAATAATATATAAAGAAATTCTAAATTCTTTATATGATTTTCATAATTTCATAAAATTTTACAAATTATAGAATTAATGAATTTTATAATATAATTATAATATTTGCATTCTCTTTAAAAAGATTGAACTCCTGTAAAATTATTGTGTAAAGTTCTTGATTTCTCGATTTTTCATTCAATATATCTTTATTGGTATTAATTCTAAGTCAAAATTCTTTTGGTTTATTTCTTTTTCAGAAGAAAATATTTGATAAGTTCTTTTAGTAATCATATAATGATGATCATAAGATTGAAGTCTAAGCTCTCTATTAATTTTCTTTTGATTTCTGATAATTGTTTTTAATATTATGCTGGAATGTTGACTAATAATTGTTCAACTTTAAGATATTGCTTCAATATTTCACTATTATTCATTTGTTTTCTTAAAGTCTTTTCAAGTTATTCTTTTAATTGTACTAATCATTCACTTTTGTGACTAATATTAATTTTCTTTTAGAAAATATATCAAAAAAATGCAAATCTAATATATAAAGACTCGATGAACATTATTAAAGACAAGAAACTTGATCAAAAAAGAAATAAATTAGAATTTGAAGATGATGAAGGTGATGATAATATAAGTGACAATACTATTCAACAAGAAGCATATAATTTTCATGCAGTAAATGACTTATTTACAGAGATTATAGTTAGTAGTGAGGATGAAAATATTGTTCAATTAGCTGGAGACTATTAGAATTATATTTAATTAATAATAAAGTAATATATTTATTAAATAGATTTTCATTTTAATAATAAAGAATATTCTGAATTAATAATAAAAATCATTAAATAATGATATTTACACATATATCAATATTTAATAAAATAAGTTGATTTAACGATATATATTATTAAATAATGATATATATCATTAAATAATGATATTTAATGATCTACATCATTAAATAATGATATTTAATGATCTATATTATTAAATAATGATGTTTAATAATCTACATCATTAAATAATATACATCAATGACTCTGATATATATTAATATATATTAAATATCTGTTTTAATATACATTGATAACTCGAATATATATTGATATATAACTAATAATAAATATTAATACAAATTATCCCAAAAAATTTTCTGATAATATCAATTTCTATTAAAATTATTATAGTTTGAAAGGGAAAAAAGATAATATAATAATGTTTCAATTAGATAGTGTTTCAAATAACTATACTAACTAATTAATTTATGAATTATTTAATTTAAGTGACTAACAATTTAACTAATTAATTAAAATATCAAAAATAATAAAAATAATATAGACTCTTTCACTTCATTCTTCTCACAAGAAAGAGATTATGATATCTTTAGTTGAAGAATTTCAAATAATTCAATTATAACAAAAAT